TATCGAAAACTTGAATGAATGTTGCTCTTTGCTATTCCGTCGTTGCAGAACTTTCACGATGGCTGGATGAGAGAACGACACACACCTCCCATCACATTTGTAACCCGGCCATCAATCCTGCTACGCTTTTCTGATTTGAGGCCGTCTTATTTTCCAACGTGACAGCATCATGTTTTTGTTGTGTTTTTTTTTTTTAATGGAAAATCAGGGGAACTGACCTGAAACGTCTGTCTAACAAGACATCCAGACCCCTTTGCAATCACTCCGAACGGTGACGAAAGGAGGCAGATCAGTCAGGCTTTATTGGGGGACATGGAAAGCCGGAGTTGAGACGGAAGGCTTGGCAAAGGTACCCATCGGCGTAGTAAGGGGATGCTTGTCACTCAAAGCGGTGGCAGGCGTTCAGCTCACGCTTGCCGCTATGGAACCGGGATATCCTGCGGACCGCAGCTGCGCGGTGTTGTACATTCTCAAGGCGGTCGTGCGCTTTGCGAGGGAGGCCCGGTTTGATTTCAGTCCGATGGCAGAGCAGAACGTTTGCATTCCTCGCTTTTCAATTGGAAGTGATGTTCCGGTCCCGCCTCGGAAGGCGATCGAAATATTTGCTTGCGTCTGTGCGTTTGGAGGAACGGGCCCCGCAATCATGAGGACAGGTGCAGTCTGCCCTCAAGGTCGGCCGCTGTAAACTAATACATTCGATTTTTTTTTCCTCCCCCTCTCTGCCTCTCTCGCCTACTCACTCCATCCTCAAGTGAAGTGTTTCCAATCTGGAAAGTTCTACGGCTGTTACATAAAATTCCAGCTCGAACGGCTGTGGTTTCAGGAAGAAAAAAAAAAGAGCAAGATGAAAAGCAAAACTAAGGTTGAAAAAGTTTTGTGAGTCAAGAAGGCGCAAATATCACGAGGATCAGCACGCGCATCATAAGGAGCGTCGCAAAAACTCCTCATCGGGTCGAGAAGACGAAGATCAAAAGCGCTGGAGGAAATTGGAAGCAGAGCCAAGGCAGCCTGGCAATTCCCATCCCAAAAGCTTGGAACAGAGAGACGGCGCAGAACCGGAAAACGAGGCATTAGACGGTCCTGCGGGGTGCAGAGATCCTAGAAGTGACTGATATCCACAAAACAGTCTTTTTTATGTTTGGATGATTTTGTTGTCACTAGTTTTGCGTCTAAATTCAGCGGCCCTGCAAAGGGCTAGAGTGATCCGAGTATAACTTGTTTGTCGGTTCCCGATTTCATGAGGGTGAGTCTGGATAAAGTTCAAATGGGTTGCAGGTGCAACGTAGGTATTATTTGATTCGATACGGCGACCAAGAACTGCCTCGGACAAAATGCTGAGTCCTTCCCCGCCGAGAAAGAAAAGCATCGGGGATCGGATATAATTCCAAGTCAATGAGGGGCTTGCTCCGAAAGAAAGCAAAAAGTCCCAGAGGATTTCAAGAAGAGTTACGAGGCCATCGGTGGAGGGGTGACAAGGAACATGAACCCGAATGAAAGGTGATCCCCTCTGACTCCGGCAAATGAGGGAGACAAAAATCAGCCTCGCGGGGTATTTGATCAAAAGTGGCAAGACTGCCTGAAATTGGTTGCGGGTACCAGGAACTCGTAACGACTCGGATGCTATCTCTGAGAAAACACAAGTGCATGAAAATTGCTCCTACTCTTAATATACTGCTGCTCTTTTCATTTTGTCGTCAGGTATGTGACTGTTGCTGGTCCCAATTTGCTTCCTCAAGCGTTTCGGCACCACAGGAACACTTTGAAGAACTTTTCAATCGACCGTGACAAATGCGAGTTGGCCCATTCGTTCCACCAAAAAGTAGGTCTACGGATTCACCGGGGTGCTTCCAAAGTACCTCAGAGCCAGGAGGATTTTTCCGGGTCAAGCTGGAACTTTTGAGGGGCGACCTGTGCTGACCAACGCAGATCGGTGGGTTGTTTTCACATCGGCGACTGCCATGACGTAACTCGCCATACCTCTACATGCGCGGTAGTTTGGTTGGAGACGCTGTGCTGTCCTCACCATAAAATGGAGCCAAAACAGAATGAAAGGTGGACACATCGGGAGGTGCAGTCTCTTCTGAGCATTTTTGTCCAAAAAATCCGGCGGAATTTCGAATGATACGCAACGAGGCGGTCTACCAACTTGGCACATCCAAGCTAGCAGAACGAAACATCGCATCCCAGGACAAAGCAAGTCCATGAAAAGCTTCAAAAGTTCAAACAAGACTCAACAACTAAACATGTAAAAGGACAACAGCAAAACTGGTAAGACGACTGACCGACATACAATTCAAAAGCCAAAAGGCTCGAGCTATAACGCAGAAGAAGAATCCGAGAATCCTCAAGATCGGTGAGTACTGAAAGTTCAACACAGCCGGATGCCGCCTGTGATGCAATACGTTCGGCCTGCAAGTCGGAGACTCTTTGGAAGATGAATTGTACACATCAATACAAAGTGGGAACACGGCATTGTATAGAAAGTGCAAATAAGCAGTCGATGACCGTCCCCGGTTTTTCGTCTGGTCAACAGCAGCCTGCAGCAGCCGTACCGTCACAGCGTGCTTTTCAACATTTGTTTCCCATAAAGGCCACATGGAGAAATCCAGCTGGCTTAAAATCAAATCGAAGCATGTTGTCTCGGGCTCATGACATTCACTACTTGTTTTTCGGGTCTATCGATCAGTTGGATGGAAAATCAGCACAGGTTTGGACGTTGACCAAAACATATGCATGTCTAAGTACATATATCAATATATACACGAGTGATAGTCAATGTCTGGGACTCATGCGTTGTTAAAAATGAAAAAAAGGAGGGGGGTGAAACAATAGATATAAATTGCATTTGTCACACAATGGCTACGGGGACAATAAAGTGTCTGGAAGAATGAGTAGAGAGCATTGTTTTCGCAAGGCCTTCCCGAATCAGACAAATCTATGTCAATACACTGTGGCTAGAAAAAGTTGAGACAATCCTGATCAATTCAGGTTTCAGGTTTCTGTCGGATAAAAAGCGAGACCCAGATCAATCTTTTCAAATCAACCGAGATCGTGTGATGGCGAACGAGGGATGCGGCTGTTTTCCGAATTCACCCCAATCGCATCCACCCGCCACCAGTAAAAGTTCCAAAGTGACTCTGCTCAACCTGGAATGAACTCGAGCTGTTCCCGTCGGCTTTTCCCGTCATTTTGCTTTCATTCCGACAGAAGTCTGAAGGTTTGATGCCAACACTGCCTGTCTGGTATTTTCAACTGTTCATAACTCTTTCCACCTTTCACTTTTGGAGTTATGGCCCAAAAGTTCATCTTTAATTTCATCAGACCATAACACGTTTTCCGACATGGATGTGGGTGATTTGGCTGTGGTCTGATGAGACCAACGCTGAACGTTTTGGCCACAACTGCCCAGGTCATAGGTTACGTTGATGGAAATTCTTTATCCTGTCTCATTTTTAGCTCACACAAAAAAAAAAAAAAAACATCCATTTGAACTTGGGTCTGTCAACTCTTTATCACCACCCTAACTCAGAGCTGGAAATTCATTTTCATCCTTCCAGGGGCATGTGCTATTAGCCATACTCTTGTTTGGCTCTGCAAACCGTACTCGTATACCGCCCGTCCGTCCGTACATTTTGTGTACATTTGTCCAATTCATCCGTGGAATCATTTGGCAGAATGAGTGAAGGTTTTCACAAGTAAACAAACGCAGCTGTCCGTCCCCCGGGTATACGCCTCTCATTCTGCGAGGTCTAATTCTGCATCAAAACTATTTCCTCTCGGTTCTCCGTCCAACATCCACATCACCGGCCTGCAGGGCGTTTAGTGGATACGGCAGCTGAGCGCTCGCTCGCCCGATGGCCCACGGCGCTCACTGCGTGGTGACGCTAACTCACTTTATCCTTTAAAATCGGTGCAGACAGGAGTGGGACGAGCCCGAGAGGCGACGTACTGGCACAGGCCACCCGCCATGGACGGTCCTGCAATATTCAAAACATGATTATCGGATCCTCTCATTGATATAGTCAGGCAGGTCAAGATAAAACTCCTTCGAATATGGCACTGAGAGACTCCCAGAATCTTTCTCAAGAGGCAGAAATGCAAAGTGGACTAGTTTCTGCCTCTTGTTGGGGAACAATCGCGACGAAAGATGGTCTGTTATGTCAACAGTGCTCTCTGGTGGTTATTCTGAGAACTCAGTTTCCTGTCGACCGACCGCATTCTCTGGCCGTTATTTTTCCCAAAGACAAAAAAAAAGACCCCACAATGTAATCCTTTTTTCTTTTCTCCTCAAATGAGATGTTTTTTTTTTTTATCCGCGCACATGTTTTTCTATGCCATCTGTTTGCAGTTATTGACAAGGTGTGCACTCCATCTCAATGGGAAGTTTGTGCATGACTTCTTGTTAGCGTAAAGCCATTCACAGGTGTGACCAGCACAACCGGCTGCCCGTGAGGCAGGCTATTCCCGGAGGACACGCGCACGCCTCAGCACGTCGGCCTACACAAGTGTTATTGTTTGCCTCTGAAGGGCGGGCCGCAGGACCGTTAAAAAAAGGAGACGTCCGCACCAAAACCGCACACCGAAACTGTCTTTTGTTTGTGTTGAGGGAAAACGTGCTCAAAATTGAAACCGAAAGATATTCAAAATCAAATATGTTGCATTTATTCACATTAGCATCATTATTTTAACATGCCATACAATTGGCAGCAATATGCACATAAAAAAAAATAATAATAATAATAATAATAATAACACCAGAATTATCTTAAGCGGCCTGTCTGTTAAGGCGCTATTTTTTTCCAATGTTTCCAAATGAAGCAATGGGAGTGCGAGTCAGTGTTGTCTCGAGTGAATCAATCGTGCCTACACAAGTGTTATTGTTTGCCTCTGAAGGGCGGGCCGCAGGACCGTTAAAAAAAGGAGACGTCCGCACCAAAGCCGCACACCGAATCTGTCTTTGTGTTGAGGGAAAAGGCGCTCAAAATTGAAACCCAAAGACATTCAAAATCAAATATGTTGCATTTATTCACATTAGCATCATTATTTTAACATGCCATACAATTGGCAGCAATATGCACATAAAAAAAAATAATAATAATAATAATAATAATAACACCAGAATTATCTTAAGCGGCCTGTCTGTTAAGGCGCTATTTTTTTCCAATGTTTCCAAATGAAGCAATGGGAGTGCGAGTCAGTGTTGTCTCGAGTGAATCAATCGTCTCTTCCGGTCTGTAAAGTGTCATTGGAAGAAAAAAAAAAGAAAAAAAAACTTGCTGATGAGGCAGAATGTTGACTGTCTCCTGCGTCATTTTGTCACTCGTCTCCTGCGGGGAGGTTCTCTTCAATCCTCTTGATAAACTTCATCCGGATTTCCGTCACATTGTCCCCCCGCAGTGTGTCCTGGACAAATTTCACATCCACAGCCATTTGGACCTAGAATTTGAAAAGTTCACAATCAGTTTCAAGTTCACTCCTGCCATAATGAACATAAGACATTGCTTTCCAAATAGGAACCAAATCCATATCTCGTCAGCGCGTCTCCTTACAGCGCTAATACAATAATGACTGCCTCTGAAATACAATAATGAATGAGAAATGGAACAGGAAACACATTGGGATCTCAAAAAAAAAAAAAAAACTAGTTTTTTTCTTTAATAAAAGTAGCACAACATTGTTTTTAGTAGTCAAACAAAAAGCTAGGACTCTGTTCTATGCGGAGACGCAGTTCAATGAAACGTTCGCCCAGCTATCGGAAAAGTATTCCTGTCACTCTAAGCTGCTGGCATAGATAAATGCGACAATGACACATTATTTGTAGTACGCCATCGTTTTCAGACCACTCAAGTCCACTTGGACATGACGAGTCCACCACGTTTGTTCAGCGGCGTCGACTCCGTGAGGTGACGTTACCATTTCCAGAGCTCCTCTGAGGACGCCGCACAACAGGTTGGAGTAGATGAGCGCGTTGTGGTTATCGGGCAGCTCCACAAAATCCACCAGCGGGTTGCTCTCCAGGATGAGGGAGAACTCGTCTCCGGCTGGGCTCCAGTTGGTTACGCTGGGGGTGACCCCGAGGTAGGTTTTAAATGCCACCTGGATGAACAAGCCGTGGCAAGGGGAATTGCAGAGTGGATCAAAAAGGCCGTGCTGGAAAATCTGCTGCCATCTGTCATCTTGTGCAGTGTGAGCATGCTTACGGAAAATACTCACTGTGTGCATTATGGAGTTTATTATTTGTATTTTTTTGGAATGATCTGAACAATGTTTGTTTTATCACCACCATGGTTCGATTGCGGCCTGCCGAGTGATGAGAATGGACGGCCTAACGTATACGCAGTGAATTCATTGAAAACAGATGAGAGCGTTGCAGTTGCACGCGCGGTTCCGCCCGGATTCTTTTTTTTTTTTTTTTTCCTTCTGGGGTCACGAAGGAAAGCCTAACCTTTACAGGACATGGTGGAGGAGAAAGGAAGTCAGGCGTGAACACGTGTTTCACAGGAAATGGAAAGAGGATCACGTCCCAGCCAGCTGTACCGGCTTGTCATTAAAACCACGTAATAAAAGGTTTGAGATATTGGACTTTTTGGTGGTGGTAGGGGGGGGCTTTCATGTTTCAGGATGAACTTAGAGTGCAATCCAACCTTTACAGGTGAGCTAAATGTGACCAACATTTTTTGAACGCACAAATTGGGACAATTCAATGTTTGACCAATTTTTGCACAGCTTGCTTTCAACTGCGGAAAAGAGAGTTTCCCATTCCTCCCAGTCGGCATTTTCATCAAGATGCCGTTCTCGAAATCGGATTTATCTGCTCTGTTTGGAAGACGTCCACGGTCACGCTCTGATTAGCCCGGAAGCATCCAATCACCTTAGCGATGACATCGGCCGTTTCTCGGAAATCCTGACACCTGCCGACGCTGGAGCGTGCCAGGAAGTCCTCGATGAGACGTACTCCGATGTTGTAACCCCTATGAAAGCGAGAAGAGGGGTGGGGGGGCGAGGAAGAGAACATCAAATTGATATTTTCCTGTAACGAGACAGAAGAACACATGGTTGGTTCAAACACTTGGCAGGAGATCTTCCTCCCGTCCCTGATGTGCTGGCCAACTGAACCATGTTGACAAACTGATCCGAGGCCAGGAAACAAAGGACGGGAACGCCCGTAATTTTGATTTGAGTTGCCGCGCAGTATGTGCGCTCGTTGCCTCTCGGGGATTTTTGCTTTCAAAACGTCTCGTGAACAGGGCAGCATTGTGGCCTACTGCTTCGATAGAAGGATCGTCAATTCCTCCCGCAGTACTCACACATATACGTTTTGTGTTATTAATGTACAAATCAACCAACAAAGCGAGAACACAGTACAAAGAGCAGCATTACTGGTGTCAAATAATACATATTTGTAGCTTTAGTGTAAAGTGGGAAGAGTAATTATTGAAGGCGATGGGTAAGAATAGATTACGCTAAACCAGTACAGTGTATGGAACGTGATGTTAAACTATTAACAAGAGTGCGACAGAAAATGGATGGATCAGCATTTATCGAAAGGAAACCAAACAATGACGACATCATCGGGAACGTCACGACACAGATGCTGTGCTTTGCATTCATTTTGTAAAATAGACGCATCTTAAAAGAACAATGTGAACAGAATTTATTTATATAATTACAATGGAAGTTCCACCAGCTGAAGTTGATCTGATACTTTGTAATTATGAAATGGCAATGACAGAATTAACAGTAGTGCTCATAAACTATTTTTCATTTAGTGCACTCTCTAAGTCAACTTGTATCCAACGTGAACAAAAAAGCTGCCATAATTCAAACGAGATTCATCCACCTTTGGGACAAATTGTAGAACATTGCAGAGTCATGATCAGCTTCAAAGTTATAAATATTGAACATCATTTTATTTCATCCCCATCAGACTTGAAAAAGTGCCACCCTACGGTACATTTCAGGATGAACCTGAAGCTTTTCGGATAAACTTAATTTGACCTCATCTCAACTGAATTTATGGGTACAGTACGCGGATTTTAATGTTCATCTCCTTGTTAGAGAACAGCAAGATGTACAAAAAATACTAAAACGCTTAACAGTGGGATATGTGGATTCAAATGTTGAAAAGGATAGTCTGAATAGTGCATTTTTCCCACTTTATACAAAAACAAGGAGGGCGGGGGGGGGCATCTATTTTGATGATGCTACTTGCAGACTCACATCTTGTCCAGTTGTTTGTTGACCTCTTCATCATTTTCGTAATCTTTGCATAGTTGTGTGACCAGGGCTCCGTAGGTCAGCGTGAACAACTCAGAGTTCTGCAAGGAAAGAAGTTACGCAACATATTAGCTCTCACAATCGAATTTTAATTGACGTTAATATGAAAACGAGTGAGGACTGAACGAGTTACAAGTACTGTAATAAAGATGGGCAGTGCAAGAACGCATCTTGGGAAAAGGTTAGCATTGAGCGAGCTACATTAGCAACGTTTTAAACATCCTGCAAGAGAAAGATGCCTACCATCTTCTTGCTGTCTGTTGTTCGGTTAGATTGCCGGGACATTTTCGTGATAGATGCGTACACAGTAAAAATACGCGTCGATACTACAGTAATTCCTTTATTTGTATTTTTAGAGTAGCGTTACGGCTATTTCCGCACTCGCTTCTAACAGCCAGCTAAAATGACAAGTAAACCATTTCCGGTTATTCTTGAATAAGAGTAAAAATTTGATGGGGGGAACGGTCATCAGCAAAGCGTCGAGATAACATACCAAAATCATGTTTGAAAAGCATACAAGCACTTACGGTTACATTATTATAGGTTTTCTGCAGAACTCGCACTGAGGAAAATAACAGTGAAATATGTATTTTTGTTTTGAAGGAACCTTCAATTTTAGTTCCGTTTACATCTTCATCGCTTGATATTTTTCAAACACTCATTGACTGCCCTCTTGCGTTTAGTAAGAAGAGAAGCAACCAGAAAAAATTAAACTCCAAAGTGTGCAGCGCTTTAACTGACCACAGGATGACAGTGCAGTTAAAATAACCGTAACGACTAAAGCGTCAATATTCATTATTAAAAGGCAGTGGAGAGCGTAGCATAAACTCTACCTGCCTGCAGCCTTGCGCGGGTTGGATATTTGCAGATTTACGGATGTTCACCCGCCATATTTAATGTGTCAGATTTGTCCTGTACACTAATGTAAACAGTGGAGCTTAAAGTGCACAGTCTAGTGCTTTATCTTTGGGAAGACTACATAGTAGATCAATTTTAGCTAACCGTAAACCAAAATAACCGTAGATTATTTGGAAATACCAGCAATTAAACGCAAACGCGTTTTTGTATGGAGGGCAGTTTCAACAATAGAAAAAAAAACTTACCTTAGTTATACGCATCGTCAGAGCAATTAGCTTGATTGTCATTTTCACTGATTTATGTATCTCGCTTTTTTTTCCTTTTTCTCTCGATGGCCAAAAAAATGGTACAGAGTTGCATTTTATGCTGGGAGAGAATCGTAGCATAATTACAACTATTTTAAAATATAAAGGTGATTTGTGTTTAACAGTTATAAGGAAGACATCAACAAAATCATACCAGAGAAAGGTTTTTAAAAACTGATCGCATCTTGTTCCATTTGATAGTTAATTTGGTCGTGAAGAGGGAAGGATAAGAAAAGCAGCAAATGTCACCTTGCCACATTCAACATGGCAGCGACGTTAACGTACGATGCCGCAAGGCGGAGTCTTTGTCAGCTCATGTCTCTGAGGAAGAGCAGCGGTGGAATAATTGCGTGTCTTGCTGTGTTGATCAATGACATATTTAGTGTGCGCGTATGTGAGGGGCGAGGTTGGAGCTTTTGCGGGACTGTAGAAAAAAAGTCAGTTTTGGACTTTTTTTTCCTCAATAGATTGCTTTTTTGTAAAAATGACATTTAGATGGGACTACATCCTAGTCCTTGCACCTTAACTAAGCCGCATGCTTTTTGCCTTCAAGGCAGTCCCCACCACCCTCATCCTCATCTTCCTCCTCATCCTATCGAGAAGCGCCAGTGTGCCACTCGCCGCTTCCAGGAATCGAATCAAGGAGGTGAATTGAGAATCCACGGACGGCGTAGCTGCTGTGCTGTGGACCGAGGTGAGGTCAACTCTTGCGCGATGATGACGGGCAAATCTGTGAAAGACTTCGACAGATACCAGTCAGTGCTCAACTCTTTGCTGGCGTTGGACGAGAATAAATTCTGTGCGGACTGCGAATCAAAAGGTGGGTCGTCTTGTTGAAAACATCCTGCATTCCGTGCAGTGCGTGTGTATGTGTGTATCTCATGGCGAGTGCACTTGCAAGCATCAACCTCGTCCCCGGAAACGTTTAGCCTGAAACAGAAACGCGAGCCTCGAAAATAAATAAATGAATAAAAGAATAGAAAGTAAGGATCGTCTTGTCTTAAATTACTATTAGGGCATCACTCACACCCGGTAAGAAGCCGGACGAGAAGGTTATGATGTAATATTATCATGCATGTTTTATAACATGCACTTCTTTTCCAAAGGTGGAAAAAGTACTTGCTCGCTGTACTTGAGTAAGAGTGCAAAACATAAAAGTCAAAATGTACAGACTCTGAAATGTACTCAGTCAAGAAAAGCAAAAATGCCATTTTGACTCGAGTAAAGTATTTTGCCTTGTCTTGCCTTGCCTTGTATGTTGTTTTGGACTGCGTAAGTGTGCCCGTTGATTGAGGTGATGGCCTGGATTTGTTAAACCTGTTTTTCCACGTGGGTAAACGCTCCTGTTTTGGACACAAATAGTGAGTCAGACAAGAGTCCAAATATAAAAAGTTGGGACAAATGGCTCTATTGATTGATTTATGTCTTTTATCTTTTGGTGAGCAGGAGGAGGCGGGGTGGAGGTGGAGGGGTCTACAGACATGCATGTTTTTTTTTCTTGCGGCTTGAGTATTGCTATTGAGCTGTACGACTTCAGACCTTGAGAGACATGATTGGATAGGTGCACCGTTGAGCCTCCCTCACTACTTAGCAGCACTTCCACCCTGGTGATAAATCCTCCAATTAAAGTCATTGCTGGCATCTTGACGAGAAAATTATGAATGGTGGAATGACTATGCAGGTTTCAGGTGCACATGTATGTGTGTGTGTGTGTGTGTTTCTTTGCCATTATTTACCCGCCAAATGCAGACTGGAGTCACATGAGTTGCCGGCCTCACAAATATTTTATGAGAATCAGCAAGCAGGCTCTTGAGTGCTTTAATGTTGTGATTTATTCATTAGTCCTTTCCACTTTATCTCGCACAAGACAAGATATGATGTTGCTAAACATGATCATACAGGGGAGGATAAAACTTTCTGATGCTGTCACGGAATATTTGTTTATTTATTGTCGTGTTTGCTTGTGGATCTGCACCAGAGAGGTGACTCTAATATCATGACATTTATCTGACAGCAATGTAAGGCGAGCCCAAAATCTTCCAAAAGCATGTGAGGAAATCTGTTATGATCCAATGAAACCAAGGTTGAGCTTTTTTGGCCATACCGTCGTCAAGTTGGAGGGAATTATGAACAGTTCAAAACAGCAGTCACTGTTGGCACAAACTTTGAGGTTTCTGCCAGAAAGGAAAAAACAAGTCAGGAAAGGCTACTAGAACATCAGAGCTTCATTGGGTTTAATTGGACGCCCTTTAAATTGGTGGCAAGTGTGCGCTGACTTCCCTTTCGAAACAAGTCGGATGTGACCGGTCAATTCTGAACGCAGCCACATTAGGAGGGTGTGCACACTTCTGCAACCCCATCTCAGTTGTTTAAACAGGGGTGTGTAGACTTTTTTTCTCCCTTGCAGTTTGAGTGCATGTACCAAGTGAATGAAGTTTTGCGGCATTACATTCTCACAGGAAGTTTGTAATTGAGAGCGGTTGCATAGTCTATTCGTATTGATTTGTCACACAATCAGACACACACACACACACACACACACTCTGCAACGTCTCTTTTAAATTGCGTTGCATGAAATTGGATTCTTATGATTTGAAGTTGCATGATATCGGGCGACAAATCTGATTTTAATTGGATGACGTTGGGGGTCGGGCAGGCAAGCACTTGTCTACTGTAAAAAGTACAGATATGCCTTTTCAAATGTAGGGGAGAAAAGTATAAAAGGGGTCAGAAATATAAATAGTCAAGTAATCCACAGTCTGCTGAAAAATTCCCATGAGGTACATGAACCAAATATAAGTACTAATTGTTATTTCCAACATCGCCCCCTCAGTAGAGGAAAAAAAAACGAATGTACATGGGCGCATTTGCGTGAGATGTCACCACTAAAACATGCGCACAACACACATGCACACCCTAAAAGCATTTGTCCACTCAACATCCGCCTCTCAACTCAACTCATCTTGGTTTGTTGTAATCTTGTTTGCCTGGACAAAGATTACTGCGCATTTCTCACCTCCCTCCCTCAGAAGTGTTCTAAGAGGAAGTGGCGACACACAAAGCGGCGGCGCATGCAAAACCGGAGGAAAAAAAAAGCGGAAGCAATCACTGTAAAACACCGTACAGTGAAAGCGTGCACCTGCTGGTTTTGGAAAACATGATGGCACCTGTTTCAGTGGGGAAACTTCAGTTGTACATGGTCATGAGTGTGCAATTTGGAAGTACAGTAAGTCCTCCCTCCATCCCTCCGTCCGTCGTGACTCATGCGTTTCAAACTCAAAACAGAAGGCTCCCCCTGTAAACAACAAAAAAAAAAACGGATACAATTTAAAGTTGGGCAATTCAACAAAATATTTTCCGTTTTTCTGTTGTAGAAATTGTCATTCTCGCATGTCACAACAAAGAGTTGACAGAACTGTCGTCACTTTGACCGTCCCTCCGACGTAAAGATATCAGTCAAAACAACGCGGCAAATTGATTTGGGCCAGACATTGTTATTGTTGATAATTCATATTTTAAAGTCATTTTGACTCAAATTGCTGTTTAAGGGCCCCCAAAAATACGAGCTGTGTTGTTTTTTTTTTTTGTTTTTTTTTTTTTAAAGTCCACATTCTTATTTTAAATCGAATGACTCTGGCTGTGTTGTGTTGCCGTGGGGACGTCACCTGTTGATGTCATGCCTCCCAGCCCGTCCCCTCACGTGTCTTATGGAGTCAAGTGCCACGAGGGATTTTCCTCTGTGCCTCCCTTGAGTCACAGAGTCAAGGAGAGGCTGACGCAGCCAAACGGAAGACAGCGGTCGAGGGAGTACAGCATATTCGTTTGTTTGCGCCCTCGTCTTATAGCGTTTACAGTGAGCCCCCTTGAATCGCCGGGATACGTTCCAGAAATACCCGCAATAGGTGAAAAGCCACCAAACAGGGACATGGCTCCGTTTCAAATGTACAAGCGCATATTCCGAACAACAAAACGTGAATAAAAAGGGCGCCCGGCATTGAGCCGCATTTGTGAAGGACCACAGTTGGTCCCCACATAGCCACGCATATGGTGAGAGTGGATGTAAATTATCAATGGGGGCCCATGTGCTCGTTAGCGTCGACCGTACTGCTGGGTCACTGGATAGCTGCGGGCGTCCTGAAGGGCTTTCAGTCATGGGAAATTGATGCGGCGGAGGAAAAAAAAAAAAAAGGACAGTTTTGTATGGTGGCAAGATCAACTCTCACAGTGACATTTGGCATGCACGTTGATCGCTTCAATCAATTCTCGTCAATTCAAGTCACATTTTTTTTTTATCATACAGCCCTTAAAAACAAACAGTCTCAAACAGCTTCACATGCCCACAGTTGACAAGTATTCACGACATCCCCTGACCGTAACCCCCCGGAAGGGCAAGGAAAAACTACAAATGAGAAACCTCGAGAAGGGGCCGCAGATGGGAGTCTCCCCCTTCGGGAATTACCGGAAGGGCAACATTTGACACAATATCGTACTATACAATGTTCGTTATGTCAATTTACGCATGACAACTCTTGCACGACTCAAGTAAATCCCCCGTGTCAACATATTGTACTGGAGCCGCATGCCTGCGGGGCGATAGGAAGTCGTGCACGGGCTGCGACAATACGTCCAGCTCGGCGCGGTGGGATTAACTGCTGAAAGTAGCGTTTATCCTTGTGGGATGTCGGCTAATGAGCCACATGCACCTGCAGCCCTCCCCGCGCGCGTGTAAGCCGGCATGTGAGGCTAAAAATGTCTTGGTGTGTTTTGCAAGTGAATCCTGTTGGAAAGTTTGTTAACCGCATTCCACTTCTGTGCACGGTGCGTGCGTGTCATCGCGGTCACAATCACATGATGACTTTGATGCCAACTTGTGGAATCTTATTGTTGTTTGCTATATATTTGTCGGCCCGCGTGTTTGCGCCGGGATGTTATTTGTATGCTAGCTAATACTATTCATGCGCCTTACGTGAAGGTGGCATGTGTGTTTATCACCTGCGACTGATGATGTGAAAAAAAAAAAAAAGGACAGTTTTGTATGGTGGCAAGATCAACTCTCACAGTGACATTTGGCATGCACGTTGATCGCTTCAATCAATTCTCGTCAATTCAAGTCACATTTTTTTTTTTATCATACAGCCCTTAAAAACAAACAGTCTCAAACAGCTTCACATGCCCACAGTTGACAAGTATTCACGACATCCCCTGACCGTAACCCCCCGGAAGGGCAAGGAAAAACTACAAATGAGAAACCTCGAGAAGGGGCCGCAGATGGGAGTCTCCCCCTTCGGGAATTACCGGAAGGGCAACATTTGACACAATATCGTACTATACAATGTTCGTTATGTCAATTTACGCATGACAACTCTTGCACGACTCAAGTAAATCCCCCGTGTCAACATATTGTACTGGAGCCGCATGCCTGCGGGGCGATAGGAAGTCGTGCACGGGCTGCGACAATACGTCCAGCTCGGCGCGGAGGGATTAACTGCTGAAAGTAGCGTTTATCCTTGTGGGATGTCGGCTAATGAGCCACATGCACCTGCAGCCCTCCCCGCGCGCGTGTAAGCCGGCATGTGAGGCTAAAAATGTCTTGGTGTGTTTTGCAAGTGAATCCTGTTGGAAAGTTTGTTAACCGCATTCCACTTCTGTGCACGGTGCGTGCGTGTCATCGCGGTCACAATCACATGATGACTTTGATGCCAACTTGTGGAATCTTATTGTTGTTTGCTATATATTTGTCGGCCCGCGTGTTTGCGCCGGGATGTTATTTGTATGCTAGCTAATACTATTCATGCGCCTTACGTGAAGGTGGCATGTGTGTTTATCACCTGCGACTGATGATGTCCGGCGCCACACCTGACAGGTCGGGAATCACTGGCGTAAACCAGGGTACCGGATGGATTTGTCAAGGCTGCAACGTTCTGTGATATTTGGAGTGGTCCAAGTCTCGCAAATCCAGTAACACGGCAGATTTATAGCCCCGCATTTCATTTCTTTTCCGACTTGGCCTCCTACTCTCCCGACTATTTCTGTTCTCGGTAGCCGGAGGTGTACACGGTTGGAGTAAACAATACATAACGCCTTATGGATCGCCACTAAAGACAGGACTGCGGTGCAGTGTGCAGGGGGTTATTCATTCCACGCATGTCCAAGTCGTCTCGTGCCTCCCCCACCTCCGGCCTTATCTGGTTGCTATGCTACATTTACAAACATCAGGACCACGCATCCATAATTAGCTTCGTGAGCTGACCTTTGGTGCATGGGACATGCGCTATCCCTGACATGCGTGTTTTTGTGAATACCAATAAGGAGGCTGAAGCTAGCCACAGCAGTTCATAATAATACACTTGACAGTTTTTACTCATTCTACAAATATTTCTGTAGTATCGTCAGACGATATCGTTAGGCTATGTATTCCACAGACCAGTGTGCAGAATTTTGTTTTCAAATCTATCTCGCTGACGAGTTAGCAAGCTAGCTTGTATTTTTCGAGATATTCGCATAATTCAGAATTCATTAAGTGCGATAGAAGACTCATACTTAATTGGTCATTAAGCTAAAGCAGCGCCGTTTTTAATGTATTGGTTGAATGATCGAGCTTCAGTGAGGTGTGCTAAAACAAAAAAAGAAATACACAAGTAAAGGACGGTAGGAGAAGCAGTAGTTTCAATTTTTTTTTCTCAGAGTCCTCACAACAGGCCTAATTGGCTGCCTCTATTATGATTAGACCAGATCCAATCGAGAAAAAAAAAAAGGCTGCGTGGGCTACAAGAGTGTGAAACTGCAGTCATTCGCTTGGGAGAACAGAAAGGTCAAACTGTGGCAAAGAGATCAAGGTGCGGGAGGGAAGAGAACACAAGGAGGCCCGGGACAAAAAAAAAAAAAAGAAAAAGAAAAATGGAGGCATGAAAGGATGTGGGGGCTAAAGTGAGTCCTCCATTCAGGGAGATTTCCACATATTTGATAATCCGCCACAAGCGTTTGCTGCAGTTAAGCAGGATTTGCGCAGTAATTCTATTATTAGCCGGCGTGACGGCTCACGCTTGAGCCCAACAAGCTTGTCTGTTAACCTCTCATTTTGTTTTCGCCCGTGGGCCCGTTTTGTCCGAAAAAGCCGTTGATGAAACAACATGTTTCAACCTTCGCAAAAGTGAACTACGGTTTGTTGAAATGATTCCGACACGAGGAAGAGGACGGTCTCCTTCCCCAAGTTTCGTACTCAACTTCCTCTTTGGTCGGAAGGTTAGTTTTGAGGAAGTACCGCGTCGAGGACTTTCCCACCATCTGGTGCTGAAAGAAACACCGTGCAGAAGCAAGTGCGAAACGGAATCCGATTTGTCGTGTGACGGTACTTCTTATGACTCCCTCACGTTACCACGGGAGTGCTTGTGAAGAAGTTGATTCCCGATTTCTTGTGTTTTGAACAAAGGCAAAAGGATTTGAAATGAGGTGGGTCTGTTTCAGGCTCCAAAAAGATGTTTTCGTATGTTGACGTGACAGCTTAACACGACGTAACCATTGCGAGTGCTGTCCCCACCCCGGCAGTGTGCGCAGCGACTGTGTGTCAGGACACTTGCCTGATTGACGCAGGATTCGAAGAGTTCCCTGCTGAAGTGGGGCTTGTAATTGAGGTCTCAGGCACGACTAAAAATAATTGGATTCTTTCCCTCGTTGTTCTTCTTGAAGAGCTTTCCTTTGCTCAATGTGGTTTCCCACCAGAAATCCAGATACGACATCACGTCTCTATGGATCACTCTTCCAGGTCCGAGATGGTCTTCGTGGAACTTGGGCATCTTTATCTGTATACGATGCGCCGGCATTCATCGAAATCTCGGCGTCCACATCTCCAAAGTCAAGTCTGTCAACTTGGACCAGTGGACGCAGGAGCAGGTTCAGGTCAGAGGACGTTTTCTCTGCAGATCTCTTCTGAACTTTGGCTGAACAGCGCTTTAGGTCCATCAGCCCAAATCCCAACATAGTTCACTTTTTGTCCGGAGCGACTCTCTCCTGTTGTCCCCGATAGTCAGATTTGAATGAGAAGTCAGTCCCATTCTGCCTACTGCAGTGCGTCCAGGAGATGGGAAACGCCAAGGCCAAACGCCTCTACGAAGCGTTCCTGCCCGAGTGCTTCCAGCGCCCCGAGAGCGACCAGTCGGCGGAGAACTTCATCAGGGACAAGTATGACAAGAAGAAGTACATGGATAAGGTCATCGATATCCAGATGCTCAGGGTGAGTCCGCGTCATCTCACCGTGAGTGTGGCGGGATCTTGAAAAACACCATTCTGAACGCAGAAAGAAAAGAGCTGCGAGAACATCCCCAAGGAGCCGGTTGTGTTTGAGAAAATGAAAATCGTAAGTATGCCGCAGAGCTGCGAGAAGGATGGGACGTGTTTGCCAATGCGCCGCGTTCCTTTTGTTGTTTCGACAGAAAAAAGACGTCAGCCCAAAGAAGGACTCCCAATGCGTTACGGACCTGCTGGGGTTAGGTATGGTCGCGCAACTGAAACGTCAGCGTCAGTTCATCGGTCGACGGTTTAGTTTGATCGCTTTGTTATTTTGTTTCAGTCTTGACAATATTCTTCATCTTAATGGAACGATTTTTGTTGTCAGCTATAAAGTGATAAAAGTCCAGCGGAAGACGTCGATGCGGAGCAGTAAACTTGTGCCAGGTTCATCAACGGGTGGGTGAAAGGCATATTTGGAATCTCTCTTAGATGCTCCTGATCCAAGTCCTGCAGTGTCCAACGGGGTTCCGGGCAGTCACCAGAGTCCAGCAGGTTCTAATCCGGCGCACCCTGCCTTGGATCTCTTCAGTCAGCTCTCAGATCCGTCCCCTTCTTCCACAGTATGGCATCCACTCCACTACTGTAGCTACTTTCAGTTTCGGTAGTGGATCAACTTCAGGCTGCCTCCACCTTCTTGCCTCAGAGCCGAGTGACCGCCTCTGTGCCTGAAAACCTCAGCCTCTTCTTGGATCCGGCACCCAGAAAGGCGGAAGGCACGTTCCAGAAACTGTCGAAGGACTCCATTCTGTCCCTTTATGGATCCACCCCGTCAGTGCACATTAGCAGTATGGCGCCATCTCATGGTGAGAGATCCGACCTACTCATGGGGATATTTGTGTATACACAGGGGTGATAATGCAATGGATGTCTGCTTTGTTTTTTTGTTTGTTTTTTTTTTTTATTCTGCAGGCTTATACATGAACCAAATGGGATACCCGACGCATCCGTACGGCTCTTACCATTCGTTAGCTCAGGCCGGCGGGATGGGGGGAGCCACGGTCATGTCGCAGGTTGCCATGATGGGGCAGCAGCAGAACGGCTCGATGGCGGCCCAAAGCGGCCCGGCTCATCACGGCATGATGGGACATCCGCAAAACACCATGATGACGTCACAGCAGAATGGCGCAATCGTGATGCGGCAGCATCAGGGCGCGGGGTTGATGGGACATTCTCAGGCGGGAGGCTTGGCGGCGTTGGCTCAGCAGCAAGCGCTCGGAGCTCAGCAGCTGCAGTGGAACGTTGGACAGGCACGTCTTTGTCCTCACTCGTAAGACAGTTCGGCACACATCAGGACACCTACTGTATGTAAAAGAAATAGTCCAAATGCTGCTGTTGGCAACAGCCTACACAGAGACACTCGCGCACAAACTCACCGACATCACACATAACCCCACCTCTTAAAGGCACATGCACGCCTGTATACACGATGGGAAAAAAAAAGTCACGTTTAAAAAAGCGTGTTTCAATTGGTTTGAGTGTTTTTTTTTTCGTAGGTTGAAATATTTTCTGTCTTCCAGATGACTCAGCACGTGTCCGTCATGAATCCATTCGGCTCCGCCACTCAACCGATGGGAAGCGCCGCGGCCCCGAGTTTAGCGCACATGACAGCACATGTCTGGAAATGAATTGCATCCGCCTCGAAAGTGAACTTATGAAGTCCTCAACGAGAGCTGCGTGGGCGGGACGCTGCGGGAGCTTTTCCGGTTTTCAAGAAGGAAAGAGGAGGAGACGAGAATTCGAAAAGTACAACTACCTCTTCCTCTGTCCTCGGCCCCTGCTCCAAATCCACTTCCTGCCTCGTACACCTCGGCCGAGCTTCGCGAACGTCCACACTTGCCTTCGGAATATTTTGTCAATGCAGTAACAGGGTCACACATTTTTATATCCAATTGGGAGCACGCAACGTTTTGTTTTGTTTTGTTTTCTGCACATAGACACAGATCCTCATTTGATTTGGAACAACCTCTCTGTTTATTATAACTGGCCAACATGAAGAAGAATAATAATATGAATCATTTTAAGTAATCGTTAGCATGTCAGCATGCATGGCTACACCGCTAAGATTGCAGCATTGTAGTTGACAATAGGAGGCAAAGACTTTTTTGGGGGCACTTTAAAGCACAAATGTCTAATAAATGTGAATTGGGTCATGAATGAAGAATTCGGTCCTACGATGGGTTAAAAGGCCAACAAAAAATTCAATTGGAGTCAATCAATCAACAACGGCAAGGCTCATTTCAGGTCCAAGCTGAGAGATTTCATGTTGATAAGTTCCTACATGCAGGGAAGCACATCCATGATTTGAATGTGCACAGCACATATTCCATCTGCATCTGCAAGAGACCTGAACTCGATTTTGGCATACCAAAGATAAAAACGAGTTTTATGGGGATCAGACACTTCCACGGAACTGCATGAAGGAAATGTTGCTACAGCGATGATGTTGTGTTTATGGCTTGAGACGACAAAAAAAAAAACATTTAATGGGAAATGTTGCACTGGAGGTGATGTTTTGCGTTTTTCTCCCTCTGTTATTATGTCTTTGAATCCATCCATTCAAATTGTTGTGATTTACTGTTTCCTACACGTGATTTCACAAGAATATTTTTGTTGATTTGTCGTTTTCCAATACGACCCAAAAAAAACCCACTTTGTGATGGACAAATCAACATATTTGTTTCTTTGTTTTAAGTGCGCAAATGGCACCTGAATGTCTAATTCTGTTTGGAATGTGTTGCTGACTAAACGCATGAAAACATGATTGTCAACGACTCCTCTTTTATTTTTCTTTGCGGCTCACATTCATGTTGTGTTGGAAGTCAAAGTGAATAGAGGAACGCATCGTTTGCCGGACTTGTCAATCAAGATCATGTTTAATACTGTCGATTGTGGTTCGCAAACAAGATTTATTAGTCGTTGATTTTTTTTTTTTCTTCAGACGGCATACTTTGTCTGTCTAGTGTCCTATTTACACGAGATGAGAATATCGGTAAGACAAGATAGTCTGGGGAAACGGAGTGTTTAAATATTGCTTTGAGTACATGCTGTCTTTTTAGTTAAGAATTCGATTCTGGGCTCGGTCGCCTTTTTTTTTTTTTTAAATGGTGTCACCAGTATGACCTATTTTGTCACCTATTTCCCGTTTTGTGCTCAGGCCAAAGCCCCGTCTCATAGAAAAGTATCTTTGGCGCCATCTTGTGGCATCTTCGCGCCAAGGAACTGTTGAAGACGGGGACGACCGAAAAGTAGTGCTTTGCTGCCATCTGCTGGTACCCACACAAGGCCCAGGTACCGAATGCAGGACGCACACAACCAATATCAGTGATTCAAATGAACTTTATTGACTGCTCGGTCAATGGGCATGCAAATACAAGCTTCTGAACCCAAAATGTGAGAATTGTCATTTTTGTGTGCGCGTGTGTATACACCCATCGGATTGATTGCGTTTTCTTTAAAAAAACTACGTGCACCTTAAGTAATCAATTTTGCAGCTTACAAACCACCAAAAATACCAGTTTTACATTATCAAATACTGCACATAGAAAACATTTACAAAGCACGGGTAGAAAATTACAGCTCCCCCTTTCTCGACGTCTGCCATAAAAGGCGGCCTCCCGTCACTAAGTCGCTCTGCTCTACGTTGCCCTTTTGCTCGCACCTCAGTGGAAGGTTAAGGCCAGTTCCAGAGGACAACCCAACGCCAGCAATGCCCATAAATGTTTCTGTAGGAAGGTACTCATCCGCTTCGTGGGTGCGCGCGCACCACACTTCCTGTCAGTACCATCTCAAATTGCTGTCCTTGTCGTGTTGCATTCAGGGACATTTGTGCTTATGCCGGCATTGAAAATGAATGGTTTCACGGAGGGGGCCCCGCTTCAAAAGGTGCTGCAGCGGCATCAAGTATCGACAGTTGTGGCTTAGCAACCTGGACATTGTTGGAAAGTCATCTGAGCGTTTATTCGATAACTTCGATGTCCAAAAGGCGCATGCGCTAGTATGCCGTTTGTCCTCGCTGCAAAGACAATTTAGCGCACTCGTAAAACAAAATTGGGCGCACGAGTTGATCTACATGGTGCGGTTCTGTTGTATTTAACTTCGAGGTACAATACAGTTGTATTTATTGTGCCAGAACCATTTGTTTTGTAACATTTACAATTTTCAATGTAACTTCGGTGCGACGAAAGTTGCATCATTAGTAAAGTGTCGTTTTCCGATTCTCCAATATTGGATTGCAGTATTCATGTTTAAGCTGCATCATGTTAGAGTGGCAAAGCATTTTTCCAGATGGTTAAATTAATCGAATTTTAAGAAGCCGCAGTTAGCATAAGTCGTCTGTAGTTGTGGACAGGCGCACAGTTTTGTTTCCCTGGAATGTCCGACTCGTGAGGACAAAGCGCTGAACTAGTCCATCGTCCTCGAGCTTGATATAAAGTATATCAAGTTCAAATTCAAAGGGCTTTCCCGTGAAGTAAAACGACTGCGACATCATCATTTTTCCACTCCTGTTTCACATTTCAGCACACCGGTGCATCACCTTCGACATGCGAGTCAGACAACTGCAAAACATATTCCTCATAGGACACAGTCCTTCTCGTGCGCTGCCTTGTCTTCTTAGGCTACAAGTACATGGACCTTAAATAAATGCTCAAACGCCTTTTATAGACGGCGAACAAACGTACCGATTAATCGACATGAAGATAGTAAGATGACGTACAATACAGTATGCTTGTGTCGTTTTGCTACACTTAAAAAGATCCCGGAATCACAAAAGCACTTGAATAAGGCCGCGCTACCGCTTTGGAGTTACTCTCAACACATTGCGCGCTCCTGCTTCTGTCTCAGGTGGCTGCAAATAAGAGTAGAAGCCCTGCTTTTCGGCCGCAAAACCGAAAAATGTGGATATTTTTGTTTTGTTTTGGATTTTTGGGGGCGAGCAACTGAGCTGCCGGTCAATGTTTATTGCCTAAAGGAAACTGGCAGAGCCAGTGCTACTTTCAGGGACAGGTGTTGCGTCACGTCCAACTTTCCATGGGAATTAGCGGGAATTGGCACCAACTGTAAATTGTTTCTCATTAAATTTGCATTTTAACAAAAACTCCCGACAAATAAGCCAAATAGAAACGAAATATATAACAAGTGAAAGCATTTCCCAAATTCCTGAGCTAAGCTTCCCATCGAAAGTTTTCAGAAAACATTTCTGCCCCCCTTTGCAACTCCATTGAAGACAGTTTGCTCGTTCCATCTGCTCAAAATCTCTCGCCGCCCAGTGACTTCAA